TGTGAATGCATTGCTCTTGAAGTGAGTGTGATGTGAAAATCAAAACCAGATTACAGCCTAGTCAAGCCTCCTCTTGCTCGCTGGTACTCCTCGTTCTATCCTTCTCTCTTTCTTATCCTATCCAACAGCCACAAGTAGTTTGCACTTAACTTCCTACACTCATTCCTTCTATTCAGGCTGTTTTGTGGATTTCTATCGCTTCCCTAGTCTTTCGCTTACTGGTATGGTCTCCATATCCAGCTAAGCATTTGGCATTAGATCAGTCTATCTTGTATCTTATGCGAGCCATGTATGCGGCCAATTCCAATTTTTGGACCCACAGACTCTTGCAGGCTGCTTTGTGTTTAGACAGCCTCTTATGTATGGGTCTACAGGTCTCTCTCACATATGCATTTCCACATGAAATCTTGTAACAGCCTGATCTGGAGAAAGTGACAGAGTATTCCCGAAAAGAAGGCAAAACCAAGAAAAGTGTTATTTTCTCTTTATGAATTATCCTTGTCCCACCTAAGTAATTCGCCTATCTTCTTTGACAGATTACACGATGGCAATATACGGACTCTAACCTTTTATCTAACCCTAAATATATATTCCCCTCCATCCTAGTTGACAATATTCTAAAATAATTTTCAATCAGTTCTCGTGGATAAGTGTTCTCAACCAGACTTCTCCTTAGTCTCTTTAATTCCTGGTCCCGATGCCTAAAATCTGCTAGACGCAGGCTCCTTATTATCATAGATTTCATAGCTCCTACTTTAAGCCCATAAGTGTGGTTGGAAAAGAAATTTCAAATAAAACCTGTATTTGTGGGTTTCCTATACACATATCTACCTACTCTGGTCCCTTCTTTGCTAACTAGGACATCAAGAAAAGGTAAACCACCTCCCTTTTCTAATTCGATTGTGAATTTCGTCTTCCCATCGATCCTGTTCATCAAACCAAGAAAAGTCTCCAGGTTTTCTTTATCATATTGTCAAATAGCAAATTTGAGGTCCATACAGCAAAATAAATATTTAAGAATTAAAAGAGCCTTCTGAATTAAGCGTTCCTCAAATTGATATGTAATTATTTGCTAAAATTGGTGACAAATTCGATCCCGTAGCTAAACCTCGTGTTTGTTTGTACAATTTACCATTAAAGGTAAAATATGTGCAGTGCATCGCCAGGTTGGTTAGTGTCATTAGTAACACTTTAGTAAACTTCGTGCGTGTTGGCCTAGTGTGGATTGCAGGGCCCGTATGGCATTGTCAACAGGAATGTTAGGGTGCAGAGACTCAGCATCAAAACTTACCAGCAAATCTCCGCTTTCTATCTCCTGCTCGTCGACTAAGTTAACGAATTCATAAGAATGATTGACTGAAGCCCTCCGCGTCTCTGAGATTTGCTTTAACTGGCTGCAAATAAATCATGATGTTTTATGCATCATGCTACCCTTAGTATTCACAATAATTCTTTGTGCTTGATGAATTATTGTAAAGCATGGTGTTCTGCTCTGACGATGTCCGTCACATGACGGACGAAAGCTCATCAAGGATTCATCGGGATCGCAGGGCGGTGCGCCGAGGACCTATTCATACAAATCTACAATCACATCTCTAACGCAATCTGCCTATAGCTTATAGTGAGACCAACGTATGAATCCTTTCCACTCAAATCTTCAAACGAAATAAAAAGTACTCAAACATCCCATTATTTGGTTAGTTAACTCAAACTTGAATCTAAAGACCAAGATGGTGTGGCTCTCGGTATGGTCGCAGTCTTTTTTCGATTTATAGAAGTAGCTTGACCTCATTTTCGCAGCTTGGTCTTGTTGTTGTTGTTTTTGTTGGATGCGCATTGTCCGAAGTCCTCAGCCAATTTAGTTATCCTAATTCCCAACAACAGACCGTGGACTTGGTATATTCTCAAACATTTCTCCGCTATCGTAGACGGCACAATTATTGGGTCCTGCCATTTTCCACACCAAGCTACAAACTTGTCAGAGACAAATGAAGTAAATCCCTTGACCAATATTCTGCCGAAGCGGTTACACTATCACTGCTTTTTCTGTCCCGGCCCATCTATCTACTCTTATCCAACTCCTGCCCTATTACAACTTCTGAATGTTTACATTCCACTTTTCAAAATGTGTGCCCTTTTTTAGTAAATTTAGTGTGACTTCATCAAATCTGCTGCTCACCTTGGTTCCTCTTTTAATTGGCTAATTCGACTCGGGCCTCCTATCCGGATCTACATCATGGTCCCTTAGATCCGTTGCTTATCTTTGCGGTTGACCGATTTCACTCGGCTCCAGTCCCAGTATGCGTTTTACTTCAGACTCTATTTCTCAAGGCTTTAGGAGCACGTACACTGCCGCCTCACCGATCAGAGCGCCTAGGTTCTGATTCCCATGCTTGCAAATATTAGGCATTGCCTTCACTGGTCGTTTTATTGATTAAACCCGCGTTAACTAAGCAAACTGTGGACGCCTATCCCTGGTCGCCTGCGGCATCCTAAGTGGATTTATAGTACATTTAGGCCATAATGCCGAATTTTTGTGACGGTTGTGCTTATCCGTCAGCGTAGTTTCTTGATTGTCAAACCCCAAAGTTGTACTGGTTTCTTTGGGATTCATTTTCCTCCAGTTAGCAATAGATCCTTGATCCAGGCGTCTTCTTTTTGCTGATCTTGCTTTATTCTTGCTTTCCCCAAGTTTGCTCAAGCATTAGGCAAAGTTATCCTTAAGTATGTCAATGTCCTCTCAATCTTCCGCTTCCTTGTGTTTTCACCAGTTGCTTTCCATTTGATCTCTTATCCAGTCTGTGCGATCTGTTCCGCTAATTCTGATCTTTTGGTATCCATTTTCCTGCCCTTGGCATACTTGAGAAAAAAATCGTGTGAACTGGAGATTGGAGGAATATAGAGTTAGCGATAACATTGCCTATTGCTTAAGCAAACTCGGGGAAAACAAGAATGTGGCAAGACCAGCAAAAATAAGACGCCTGCCTTAAGGATATATCGCTAACCGGAGGAAAGGGGATCGCTACGAGAAAAGTAGCAAACTTTCGGAAATCAAGCGAAGACGTTATCAG